AGAATATGTAAATACATTCACACTGCAGAAAAGCCCTTTGAGTACAAGGAACATGGACATTCTGCTGTTTGTCCTGGTTCATTTTGCAAGTGTAACATGACAATATAGCACAATGATGAGTAAAATCACTGTGGCAAACCTCTGAGTTCTTCCAATTCACTTTAGAAATGTGGAAAAACTCACATGAGGAAAGTGTGTCAGAAAGATGAACCATGTACTAAACACTTTAACCACCACAGCCATCTTCCAATATACAAAAGGAACCATAATAAAGGAGAAACTTATGAATCGAAACAAGTGATACAACTTTACAATTTGATCTCTTTTTACAGTAAACTAGACAAAATTGTAAAATTAAACCATATAGATAAAAAGAGTCATCACTGTAATCAATGTGGTAGTGTTAATACATGTCAATTGTCTTCACAGGCATAAAGGAAGTGTTGCCAGAGAGAAACCCTATGAATATATTCAATGTGATAAAGCCTCTACAGTTCACAGTGGTCTTCAAAGGCCTGAAAGTGTTCATTCTGCAGAGAAACCGTATCAATGTGGTAAAGCCTTTTCTTACCACAGTAATCTCCAAAACCATAAAAGAACTCATAATGAAGGAAACCCCGATGAATGTGATAAATGTGATAAAGCCTTTTCACAAAAGAGTAATCTCCAACAGCAAAAAAAGCCACATTCTGGAGAGAAACCCTATGAATGTAATGAATGTGGTAAAGCCTTTTCAAACCAAAGTCATCTCCAAAACCATAAAAGGACACATTCTGGAGAGAAACCCTATGAATGTAATCAATGTGGTAAAGCCTTTTCACAACAGAGTCATCTCCAAAACCATAAAAGGACACATTCAGGAGAGAAACCCTATGAATGTAATCAATGTGGTAAAGCCTTTTCACAACAGAGTCATCTCATGAGACATAAAAGAACACATTCAGGAGAGAAACCCTATGAATGTAATGAATGTGGTAAAGCCTTTTCAGAACACAGTTATCTCCGAAAACATAAAAGAACACATTCTGGAGAGAAACCCTATGAATGTAATCAATGTGGTAAAGCCTTTTCACAACAAAGTCATCTCCAATACCATAAATGGACACATTCTGGAGAGAAACCCTATCAATGTAATCAATGTGGTAAAGCCTTTTCACAACAAAGTCATCTCCAATACCATAAATGGACACATTCTGGAGAGAAACCCTATCAATGTAATCAATGTGGTAAAGCCTTTTCACGACAGACTCATCTCCAGAGACATAAAAGAACACATTCAGGAGAGAAACCCTATGAATGTAAAGAATGTGGTAAAGCCTTTTCAGAACACAATGTTTTGCAAAATCATAAAAGAACACATTCTGGAGAGAAACCCTATGAATGTAATCAATGTGGTAAAGCCTTTTCAGAACACAGTTATCTCCAAAAACATAAAAGAACACATTCTGGAGAGAAACCCTATGAATGTAATGAAT